CACAGCGCCTTCGCCGTAATCGCCGAGAACGTACGGCGCAACATACACCGGGATGGATTTCTTGGTGTCGTCGGGAGTCTGCTCGTGGTATGCCAGCGGATTGACAGCCCTTACGTGCGGCAGCATGTAACCGACCTTGGAGTCTTTAGGCAATGCGGGTAGAGTATCTAAGTAAGCTTGGAGCTCGGGGTCTGCCTTTGCCAATGATGTCACGATCGGGTGAGTTGAGGCGAGGGCGAGATACTGAACTCCAAACAAGGTATCCGGCCGCGTCGTGAAGACTTCGATAGCTGCGTGGGCATCTTGGCCCATGGCCATGACTGGGAACTTGATGACGGCGCCAGTCGATTTTCCGAGCCAGTTCTTCTGCATGGCCAAGACCCTCTCGGGCCAAGCCTCATCCTTGGCAAGCGTGTCCAAATCCTTCAGCAATGCTTCCCTGAACTCGGAGATGCGGAAGAACCACTGCTTCAGCTGGCGTTTCTCAACCTTGGCACCGGATCTCCAAGAACATCCATTTGCGTCAACTTGCTCGTTGGCGAGGACCGTCCTATCTACAGGGTCATAGTTGACCTCTGCTTCGGTTTGGTAGGCGAGGCCACGTTCGAGCATCATCAAAAAGATCTTTTGGGTGTGTTTGTAGAAGTCGGGATCGCAGGTAGTCAGTTCCTAAGAGACGTCGTGTCAGCCAGAGCAAAGATGGTGAGCTAGGAAACAAACCCTCTCCCAGTCCCAGCTGCCATTCATGACCTCCAGTTGTTCCTTCATCTTGGCAATGTTGGTCTTGGTCCAAGTTGCAGGTGCGATTCCACGGTCGATGGCGGCATTTTCAGCCGGAAGGCCAAATGCGTCCCATCCCATTGGCAGCATCACGCGAGACCCCTTCATCGTATGATAGCGAGCGAGGACATCGGCAATTGTGTATACGCGCAGGTGGCCGAGATGCAAGGTACCAGAGGGGTATGGGAACATTGGAAGCACAAATTGGTTCGGCTTGCTTGAGTCATCGTTTGCCGTAGAAGCTTTCGAAGCGTCCCATTTCTGACGCCACTTCTTGTCGAGAGCGGTAAAATCGAGCTTGATATCGGCATAGCTCCGTCGTTGCGTTGTTTGAGCTAAGTACGGGCTTGCGAAAGACGGAGGCTGTCGAGTAGCTACTAGTGCTGGGGACGGTCGTGTATTCTTCGCCCAGGTCGCAATGGACCGACTGGACCAGAGACGGCCAACATGTTTCGCGTGTATCAATTGCATTTTATGGTGTTGTCATGGTCGTTGGGCAGAGTTATGTAGGTCGTGGTCGATGGTGGAGGAAGCAAAAGGCAGCAAAATTAGAGTCATGCAACGGCGTCACGCTATCGCGGGTTGAAGCGAAGAAAGCAGTGGTCGCGTTTGCAGCTGCCGTGCAGCTCCATCAAAAACGGAGAGCTCTCTGGACCCCTGCATCTCCGCCCCTACCCTGCGGAATTTTAGTGGCAGACTGGCAGGTGGCCCTGCAGGGGAACGTCATTTGTTCCGCACACCCCTGGGACATATCATCTGTGAAGGAAGGTGTTACAGTGCTGGACCAACACCATGGCACGGGGCTCTGTCGTGATTGGGGAATCATTGTTCGGTTTTTGTTATGCATTGCAATTCTTTCTCTGGGCAAGGTAGAATGGGAAACATGTCAAGGACGCCTTTTTGGAAACATTAAGCTGATGCATAGAGGTTGTCAACAAAGCTGGGTTTTCTCCCAGGGCAACGGACGGCAGAAAGAAGGGGGCGGCGGAATAACTAAAAACCGTTTACGCGGCTGCTAACACTGTGTATACCGCGCCTAGCCGCACCTTGGGCGCCCCATCCGAAGTCGGTGGTACAGTGCGGGCTGCTATCTCCAAAAAGAAACTGCCCCGCCAAAATCATTTTCAATGTCCCGCGTCTTTGAATATCTTCGCGGGTGCACATCCAAATTGTTCTAGGGGAATGACGACAGCGCAAGCAAGCCAATCACGTCACATTCTGTCCGCTGAGACAAGGAGCTCTGTTCGATTGAGTCTTCTATAATCCCTTTACTCATTTTCTCATTCCTCATCCCCAAGTTCCCCACGTTACCAGGCGGTATCAAATTCCAAGACTCGTCTCCCCGCCCTGCCCCTCCGTGGCGGTCTGATATCGACAAAGGAATCTCAAACGGTCTTAAACGCCGAGTAATTTTTTCACTAAACGCACAATCAAGGAGGAAAACGCCTTACAAACCCAATATTCCATCTTACGCATCAGTTTTCAAGTAAACGAGCTTTAACTCGTCGCCCCCAAGATGGAGAAGATCACGGACAAGATCGCCGCTCTGCCGGCAGACGCTAACTACTTCTCCTTGGAGTTCTTCCCGCCCAAGACCGCCATGGGTCTTTCTAACCTGCGCGACCGTCTGGATAGAATGGAGAGGGCGTTGAGGCCTCTGTTCGTCAACGTCACCTGGGGAGCCGGCGGATCTACCTCGACAAAGTCTCTGGAGCTGGCCGAGATATGCCAGAGAGAGCTGGGCCTCACCACTTGTCTTCATCTGACATGCACAAACATGAGCCGCAAGCTCATCGACAAGGCCCTGGAGGACGCAAAGGCCCTGGGTATCCGCAACATCCTCGCCCTGCGAGGTGATCCGCCGCGGAAGAACGAGTACCGCGATACCGAGGACTCTGAGACCGATGATGCCGAAGATTTCGTCTGGGCCGTTGACCTGGTCAAGTACATTCGCAAGAACTACGGCGACTACTTCTGCATAGGAGTCGCAGCCTACCCAGAGGGCCACGCAGATGAGAGCCATCCCCAGGGACAGAGCTTTGAGCACGACCTCCCGTACCTGGTTGACAAGGTCCAGGCCGGTGCGGACTTCATCATGACCCAGCTCTTCTTCGATATCAAGGCGTACGAAAACTTTGAGAAAGTCTTGAAAGAACACCCCAGCGGCGCCTTCAAGAACATCATCCTCCTCCCCGGCTTGATGCCTATCCAGAGTTACCAAATGATCAAGCGGACGACCAAGCTCAGCCACGCCAAGATCCCCGACAACCTCATGGCCCGACTGGATGCGGCCAAGGGTGACGACGAGAAGGTCAAGCAGGTCGGTGTCGACATCCTCAGCGAGCTCGTCGAGCAGGTCAAGGAGGTGAAGAGCAGGACGCCCGGTCCCAAGGGCTTCCACTTCTACACCCTCAACCTCGAAAAGGCCGTGTCCTTCATCCTCGAACGGACGGGCCTCATTCCCGACCCCAAGATCGAGGACGAAGAAGCTATCATCGACGACGGCCCGGGCATCCCCGTACCCGTCGCCGTCCCCGCAGTCCAGCTCAACGGCCTGTCCCCCGTACCTCACCCGGCCACCCGCACCCTCTCCAACGGTCGACGGCCATCTTCAATGGGCTCAGACCCACACAACCGCATCATCGTCTCCGGCTCAGCTTCAAATCCCGCATACGAGACGACGACCGCCGGCCTCATGGTCTCAGAGCCCGTCAACACCCGCGCAAACACCCTCGCCATCTCCGAGGGCGTCGGTGCAGTAGGCCGCGAGGCGACATGGGACGACTTCCCCAACGGCCGTTGGGGTGATGCCCGCTCCCCCGCCTACGGCGAGATCGACGGCTACGGCGTTAGCCTGCACATGTCCGTGACGCAGGCCATGCGCCTCTGGGGCACCCCCAAGACGGTCCAGGACATTAACAACCTCTTCATCCGCCACATCAAGGGCCAGCTCGCCGCCATCCCCTGGTCCGAGGAGGAGCTCCTCCCCGAGTCCAACATCATTCAGCAGGAGCTCCTCGATCTCAACACCCGCGGCTGGTGGACCGTCGCCTCCCAGCCCGCCGTCAACGGCATCCCCTCCCGCGACCTGACCTTCGGCTGGGGCCCCCAACACGGCTTCGTCTTCCAAAAGGCCTTTGTCGAGCTCTTCATTCCTTCCTCGGACTGGGCCGGCCTCGTCGCCCGCCTCAACGAGGTGACAGACAACACAATCTGCTTCTACGCCGCCAACGGCGCCGGCGACTTTGTCTCCTCGGACGCGAGCGGCGGCCTCGTCCTCGAGGGCACGGAGGCAAGCACAAACGCCGTCACGTGGGGCGTCTTCCCCGGCAAGGAGATCATCACCCCGACCATCATCGAAGAGGTCAGCTTCCGTGCCTGGGCCGAGGAGGCCTTCAAGATCTGGGGCGAGTGGGCCAAGGTCTACGGTAAGGGCAGCGAGAGCGAGGCGCTGCTGGAGCGGATAGGCTCCGAGTACTGGCTCGTCAACATTATACACCACGACTACGTCGAGAGGGATGCGCTGTGGAAGTTGTTGTCGGGTGAGAAGGAGACCTGAGGAGGCTGAACGTATTTAGGATAAAAGAATCAAAATGAAAAGGGCAAAGGGAAAAAATAGTAAAGTGCACAAGGGTTTGGTTCTTCTATATAGTTGCGATTACCCCTTAGTCATGAGTGAAAGAGGAGATACCCGTCAGTTCTTGCCTTCAAGGTTAGATTTAGTGCATTGTGAAATCCCCTCGATCGTGCCAAATAGGTACCTAGAGATGAATGCAATAGACAACTTCAGGTGGGTACCGGTACTTAGTTGAACATGTACTATGAAGCTACAGCAATCTTCACCACGAAGTCTGTAGTCACGGCAGAAACGCGACGCCGAGATGTGCAAATCAAGTCGGCCTAGTGCCTTGGTATCTCATTGAGAATCTCTTCCACGCACTATAGCTCTGTGAGCTCGGTGAGAAAAGATCCATCTATCTATAGACGCATAGGGAAAAGCCCACTTCGGTATCCTTCGTTTTGTTTTGTACATGCTACCCGTGGTTGATATCCATCCAGGATAAAGGAAATAGTCCAAGCCCAACGCCAAAAGCCCAGTCCGCAAAGAGGAGTTATCGATGCCGCGACGTGGAAAAAGTTCAGAACAGCGGCAAAAGAAAGCAGACCACGGGATACTCCGGGTCCTAAGTCTTTCTTCGCTACGCCAATGTAAAGCCAGCTCAGATCTCTCCGTCGGCTCCCATGAAGGACGAGTCGTAGCCGCCGTTGGAGTTCACCATGCTCTCGGCGAAACTGAAGTTGAACTCATCATTCATGTTGTTGATGGGATTGAAGATAGCTGCATCCATCGACTGCGAGAAGCTGTCGTTTCCGGTGAAGCTGGCCATGGCGGCGGCGGGCTGGATGATGGTCTGATGCTGAGAAACGGCCTCCTCAAAGGACGGGTGCTGGACGGCAGCAGGCTTGGCCTCGGCAATGGGAGGGAGCTCGTAGCCCGAAGCGTTGTTGGGAGTGTCTACCTCACTATCGGAGGTGGTGAGGTCGACGGCAGCGGATTGTGCAATAGTTGCAGCCGCAGCGATAGTAGCGGCGCGGCTCGGCGTTGCGCTGCGACGAGGAGTGGCTCTGTTCTTGGTCACACGGCCGTCGATGACGTTGTGGACGCGAGTCTTTGAGGGAGTGTCCTCGAGCGCGTTATAGTCGACGGCATCACTACCCTCCTCGTCATCGTCAGATATAGGATCAGTCTTGATCGGCATGGTCTTCTTGGCCGTGGTTGAACGACCACCGCCCGAGGCGCGGATCTTGGCACCGGACGGGGTTCGGGGCTTGCGGGGAGTCGAGACGTTGCTGCTAGTACCGCCAGTGAAAGTCAAGACAGAGGCGGGGTTACCACCACTGTTGGCAGTCTGCTTAAGGGACTCAGCGTCCTTCTTAATGCCACGGAACTGGAACTGGATGCCATCGGCAGTGGATTCGCCGAAGAACTTGGCAATCTCTGTTTTCTCATGTCAGTATACTCCTTGTCAAAATCGTAGTAAAAAGGTAGCGAAGTCGAGAAATGTAAAGAAAGAAAGAAGCCAGGAAATTGTGACGGATGAAAGCGAGGGAATGAATGTAGAAGCAGAGGCAACGGTTACCCTTCTTCTCCTTGGGAAGGTCCACGGGGATGGCCTTGCAATCCACACCCTGCTCATCGGCTTCCCGCAGGACAAATCCTTGATTCCTGAGGGCTCTGAACCGATGGTTGAGAGCGTCCTTGGTCATATCCGAACCGTAGAACTTCTGGATATCTGCGGTACGTCAGAAATGACGTCGACCATGGTGAAAAGAAGAAGGAAAATCGAGACAGACGAAGAAGGACTATTGGGCTGAATGGAAAGAGAGGAAACACGCGTAGTTCTTACCCTTGTAGTTCCATCTGACTTCGGAGTGAGCGGCCACGATGGCGCGAAGCAGTCGAGCCTGAGACTCGTAGGTCTTGAAGTTGGCAGGAGCCATCTTGGTCTGCGATCTAAGGTAGGGAATCGACGGATTAGTATTTGGTCGACGGAAGGGTCAGAGGGAGAAGAGGAAGGAATGTAGCGTAGTGGAAGAGGTGATCAGTGACGATCGAGTGAATATATACCTGTTGATGATGGCGGACTTTCTGTTCGTGGGTGGCCTAAGATGGAAGGATTAGGTCTGGGTGGATGTTGAGAGTGTTGTGGCGTAGAAGATAGAAGCTCGGTACGTGTCGAGGGGTCAAGTGAGGTAGGTAGCGCGGAGGTGGGTTAATTGCGGGAAGGAGGAAGAGCTCAGAGAGAAAAAAGGAAGGTAGAGTGGTAAGAAAAGGTGAAAAGGCAATCGCGGCAGGCGACAATTTCTCTGCACTTTTTTCCAAAGATTGGAGACAGAGAGGAATCTCGGGTGATAAATCGGTATACTTACTGAGTGCGACGGCTGTTTTGATTCAGTCTCTTACAAATGTTGTTGGCAGCTGCTGTGTGCCTCTGAAGTATGTGTGTAGATGTCAGCTTTGGCACTGAGTGTAAGGTGAAGAGGAGAGAGTGTGAATAGATGAGGCCGAGCGAGGTGAGGGCAGAAGAGTGAGGTTGCGCCTATGGAAGGATGTGCTGCTTTGAAGTGCAGAAGGCGATGGCGGGCCCAATGGGGAAAGAGAGGCTCAGCTGTATCGACTTACACGAGGAATGACGTTCCGCAGTTGCGTGTCTACCGAGTACGGTAGTCAAGGCAGTATTCAGACTAAACAGGTCAGCCAGTCAGCCCAAGCGTATAAAAGTATGCGAGACTAAAAGCCAAGGAAGGTGGAAAATATAGAGTTTGTCTGAACGTAAATCCTGCGAGACCAAATGCAGCTCAGAGGTGGGAATGCTTGAAGGAGGTTGGTAAAGAGTGCTGCTGTAGGCAGTAGCAATGCGTGGGATATAGCGAGAAGAAGGGGATGCTTCTGTGTAGGTAACGACAATGGCATCACCCGGAGAAGTGAAGCACCTCTTGGTGAAGCTGTCCCAAGTCCTCTGCTCTCCTTCCATGACTGACGTGCGTCTAAGACGGAAACCGGGAAAGCAGGCTTCAAGACCAGCGCCGGCTTGAAGCAGAATCCAAAGCAGAATCCACAGCAAGGCTATCATACTACTTCTCGCAACCTTCAATGGAAAGCGAAGGTCCACTGGATGGACTGATGAAGGTTCAAACCAGGAGGACCAATTTATTACAGAGCACTCGTCTCTTGACAATCTCTGGACAGTAAGGAATACACTGCACTTGCTTACCTTGAGTAAAGGCCCGTCTAAGTCTCCAGCCTGGGCCAGACTAGCCGAGCTCTTTGTCAAGACAAATAATAAGCCGCGAAACAGAAAAGTTCTTGACGTAGACTGTCCTTTATGAGATCTCAACTCTGACTGCTCTTCATGCAGTACAAGGAACACCCAAGCACTAAGCCAGAAACCGAACCGGGATGAATGCTGCTGATGCGCAAGGCGCGGCGACGGAGCTTCTCAGATCAGCTTAGAATGCAAGTTGACAGATCGTCCGGCAAGGCCCCGGATTTTTTCCTTCCTTGAATCCTTGAAGCCGAGATATCGAGTTGCGGATTGTTTTAACGTCGGTTTAGGTGCCCGGAGAGCTGCTTCGACGATTTGGGAAATTCCTTGCTGGTTGGCCGGGTGAAGGGGTAAATAGTGAGATGGAATATAAGGCAGACAAAAGAACTTGCGATATGGCGTAGGAGATGGAAATTGGAGGGATAGAAAAAAATAAGGGATAAAGTGAGTGTTTCTTTTTTTTCCTCTTCTTTTTTTTTCGATTATCCAGAAGAAGCCAATCTTGGACTTGAGCTCTTCAAGTTGTCAATCGTCTTGAGACCGGATTTGACGATGATGGTGTGGTACGGCAGTCGTCAGTTGGGTGGCCAACTCGAAAAGTGGGTGGTTGGGAGCCTCTGCAACTCGTGGGTATTGGCGATGTTTGGTGATGCCCAGTTAAGGAGCGACTTAATCGCTGGGCTCGATACTTGTCCATCAAATCAGAATGAATGCTAATAGAATTTTAAAGCATGTGTTTTAAAAATCGGGTATCCAGATGAATATGAGTCACCCAGAACAATATTCCTACGCCATTCGTGATGCCAAACGCCGTCTGGGAAACCTGCCAGCAAAGTACTCACTAACGCTAGATAACGACATTGGCCACCATCTAGAGAAGATTGAGCTCTCGTTCGCTCATCAAACCCCTGCAGTCCCACGACAATTACCATTGGCCCTAGATTGTTGGCCCCTGAAACTCCTTTTCTAATCCTTGTCTAAGCTATCTCTCCCATATCTTTTTTGCAATATTTCTCAGAATTTACAACGCTGCTATGCGGGACGTATCCGTACATATCGGTAGATCGTGAACCCAAAAAAAACCATCGTACGTTGGAAGAGCAGGCAATCGAGATGAATGCGATTCATCGTAACTCCTTGCCAAAGGGGCTAGAGGTTCTTCGGCCGGCTGGACTGGACCTGCCACTGACGTGCTCGGGCAAAGGAGGCTTGTAGACCCCGTTAGGGTACTGAGGATACTGGGACATGGGGTGCTCCTTGATCTCACCCTTCTCGCCATCTCCGTACATGAGATACTGGACACCAAGAAACGAGTCGCATCCGGCCTGGAACATGCCGCACAGCTTAAAAGCCCAGGGGATCTCCGTCGTCGACGTGAAGAACCAGAACATCTTCATGGCATCACCAATCAGCCAGCTCGCCAGCACGGAGAAGCGGAAGCCCTTGCAAGACTTGGATCGCGAATTGGAGAAGATCTGGGGCAGGGGCAGCGTTGCTTCGACCGAGAGACCAATGTAGCCGATGAGCATGGAGTAGGTTTGGTATACGGGTCGCACGGGCGCGAGGAGCAGTTCGCAAACGGTCAAGCCGATGAAGAGGTAGAGGAGGAATTGCCAGTACCTATGGCAGCTGTTAGTCATAGCACATGGTGCGCTGCGCAAGATTAGAGACTCACGGCTTGGGCGACCTCCACTGCCAGAAGTGGTAGGGTCTTTGTGCGCCAAAGACGGGACCGTCGTTGACATTGGCGAACGGCGTCGCAGCCTCTCCTCCTTTGGCCGATGGTGGCAAGCGGTGGTCCAGAGCAATCTTGAGCAAGATAACTTGCATGACAATCATAAGAAGGGCCTGGATGAGCAAGGCAGTATCGAATCGTGCGCCGGGCCAGTAGAAGATCCTGTGGGAACGCGAATGGTGTCAGCTTACGTCGGAAGAGACGGGGCAGATGCGTTCCACGTACTTCAGCAGAGAGGCTACCAGCATAATCAGCGGGATATCGAGAGAGAAGCCTGCGCTGGACTTGTTCTTGTGCATCGACAGGGCTTGGTCGCTATAGGAGAGAACTGGCGACATGATGAGGAAGATGGGGGCCAGGTAGCCCGCAAAAGATGTTAACCAGCGCATGATTGCGACGGTCGAGGGTACGGATTGCTGCGGCGCGCAAGGTGTTGGAGCGAAAGTGAGTAAAGTCAGGAGCACAAGACAAGTTGGATGAGGTTGGGAGGAAAGAGGAGCCGGATCCAGTCGTCCCAAGAAACGACGGACGCGTCGAAAGGAAAAGAAGTGACGAAGCGGAGCGCGGCGGGCGGGCAATCGCAGAGTCGTCGAAGCCGGTCCAAGAAATTGAAGAATGGAAGATGGGTATTGCTATAAGGGGAGCCAATCAGTCCTGAAGCCAAGAAAGGTATGGACTTTCCAGTGTTCCCCCCAGTGAAGCGAATTGCTTGTTTTTTTTGCTGACGTCGCCTTTGACCTCTTGTCAAATGTCCCGAGTGCCCTTTTCTGTACGGCAATCGAATGCTCCGTACCTTAGAAGGTAGAGCCCGAGTGGCAGTGACAGGGTTCAGCACCTGGGCGGGAGTGGAGGACGCGGGCGGAAGAGCAGGAAAGTTGTGAAGTGCCGCCAGCTGACGGCCACTCGCACGGAGACGTGGGAGGGTCCCGGCGTCCCGAAAGTTTGGGCGATCTTACAGCGGGACTCGCAGCGGAAAGGTCACGCACGACCTGAAATTCTGAACAACCTTACCTTACAGATACAACCTTCGCGCCTGCCAAACCTGATGACCTACTGCGCTACGACGGGACGGGCACGCTAGATTTGTCCTTGCTGTCAGAAGTCTAGGTAGAGTACTGTTGCAGATTGTGATGGACCTGAGTTCGGCATCATCGGATGGAAATTTTGCGATGGCAGGCCTGAGCTTGAACGGCTGGCTTCCTTGCTGTGCTCGGGTTGGCCCTCGGTCATGCATCCCCAAGTCGACCCATGATTCGACACATGCTCTGACCAGTTATGGGTCTCGAGAGTCGAAGAAGTGAAGCACTAGTCACGACGTCTCTAGGATGGTTCTTGTTCGCCCTCACCGACCTTTTCTCCCGTCTGAGTCCCGTCTGTCTTGATTTATTTTGGGCCGCCTCTTTCCGCTTGAACCCACCAGCCACACCCAAGCCAGCTCACCAGCCACACACAGTAGCAACTTGGAACATGTAAGGCACAAAGGTTCCGACAGCGGGCGCACTTACCATTTCAACGCTGAGGCGGGCAAACAGATACCTACGTGGGTACGAGTAGAAAGAGGTTCATCAGCCATGATTCATGCGCCCCTGACTCCCGGACGTTGACCTCGTCAAGCGGCAACGTTTGTAGTTTGAAGGCAGTGACAGTGACATTTGTCGCGGTGAATGCGCAAAATGCGGGAGAGCCACTCCACCGCCACAAAATAAGTCTAGTGCCCCGCGCCTCCAGTCGACGAGGAAAAAAAAAAGTCACCAACGCCTCCAATTTTCATTATCGGCCGCCTATCTGCAGCTGCCCCACCAAAATTTCAAAATCACCCCGCCATCTCGGAGCGGAAGACTCACAAGATGCCGCCGCCTAAAAACTTGTCTCTATCGCCAACCCGACATCCATCAACGCCGGGCGAGACTTCCTTTTTGATCGAAGGCCGCTCTCCGTGTCCTACGCCCACTGTAGGCAGAATGGAGTTTCTTACCCTCGTTGGCCAGGAGGCCTACACCACCAAGCAGGCCGAAGAGCTCAAGACGCGCATCAACAAGCTCGACGCTGCGTCGAACAAGGTCGTCAGCGTTGCCGGCATCTGGGTCTACTACGTTCACCTCAAGAACAGCGACAACAACCTCATTGTCCAGCAAAAGCTGACAAAATGGCTCGGCCTGCCCGACCAGACAATCGCTCAGATTGCCGCCAACACTGATACCCAAAAAACTTACTACATCACCCCGCGGAACATCTCGCCTTGGTCCTCAAAGGGAACTAGCATCACTCATGTCTGCGGTCTCGCAGACAACATTGACCGTATCGAGCGCGGCAGGGCAATCACCCTCACCTTTGAGAACCCCGTCTCTGACGATGAAATCGCCTTTAAGGATGTCGTCTACGACCGCATGACTGAAACAATTGGCCTGTCGCGCCCCGATCTTTCCGCCATGTTCATTGAGGGCCAGCGATTCCCGTTGGAGATTGTCGACATTCTGGGTGACGATGTTCAGAACGCCGATGCCGATAAGGCTGTTGAGACTCTCAAGTCGTACAACAAGCAATTCGGCCTGGCTCTCGACGACTCTGAGATTGAGTACCTCGTCCAGGTCTTCAAGAACCTTGGACGTAACCCCCACGATGTGGAGCTTTTCATGTTCGCTCAGGTTAACTCGGAACACTGCCGCCACAAGCAGTTCAACGCCAACTGGACCATTGATCAACAGCGCATGGGCAAGAGTCTCTTCGAGATGATCAAGAACACCCACAAGTCCAACCCCGAGTACACCGTCTCCGCCTACAGCGACAACGCCGCCGTTCTCCAGGGTGAGACTGCAAGCTTCTGGGCCCCCGATTACTCCACTGGCAGCTGGAAGCTCACCAAGGAGGTCGTCCACGTCCTCGTCAAGGTTGAGACACACAACCACCCCACCGCCATTTCGCCTTTCCCTGGCGCCGCCACTGGTGCCGGAGGTGAGATTCGTGATGAAGGTGCCGTCGGCAGGGGCTCTGCTCCCAAGGCCGGTCTCTGCGGTTTCTGGGTTTCTGACCTGTTGATCCCCGATGAGAAGGCCCCGTGGGAGGTTGACCTGGG